GGCTGATGAGAAAGATCGTGACTCAATCTTTACGACCGTTACGACCATATGGAAACCAGGCTTTGCGAAGTTTATATCGGCTTTTTTCACGTATACGTGACTTGACAGTTGCTGTAGCGCAGTACAGTAAATTTCCCTGTTAAAAAGTACAGTATCACTTCGCTTTGAACTCAAACATGGCCTCGCCACGCGACCTAAAGAATCAGACATCATTGCCGCAACTGAGTCAATTTGGAATCAACTAAAACGTGTTACAGCTTAATTCCTGGTAGCTTTATCAAACAGCAAAAGATTAAGAACTCCATCAAGGCCTTAGCTTACAACTTCTTAGACTTTGACGACAGATGGCTTACTGCATGAAGACAGCAAACACATTAAAATCCTGAAAGACTTACGTCCAAACGATACGCTATTCTACTTAAACCAGATAAAGGTAACGGTGTTGTACTTATAAAACTGACAGACTACTATACCAGTATGATTTCCAAATTTTCCGACGCAAGCAAGTTTCAAAAACTCGTCTGTCGAGCCCAACAACCTTGTAGCAAGTTGTCAACAAGTTGTTGAATTGCAGGACGATAAGAAGTTGTTAGAACAACTTGTAACAAGTCTGTTGAGTTCAACAACCTTGTAGCAAGTTTGTCAACAAGTTGTTGAATTGCCGGACGATAACAAGTTGTTGGAACAACTTGTAACAAGTCTGTTGAGCTCAACAACCTTGTAGCAAGTTTGTCAACAAGTTGTTGAATTGCCGGACGATATCAAGTTGTTGGAACAACTCGTAACAAGTCTGTTGAGCTCAACAACCTTGTAGCAAGTTTGTAAACAAGTTGTTGAATTGCAGGATGATATCAAGTTGTTGGAACAACTTGTAACAAGTCTGTTGAGTTTATCAACCTTGTAGCATGCTTGTCAACAAGTTGTTAAATTGCAAGACGATAACAAATTGTTGGAACAACTTGTAACAAGTCTGTTGAGTTTATCAACCTTGTAGCAAGTTTGTCAACAAGTTGTTGAATTGCAAGACAGTAACAGGTTGTTGGAACAACTTGTAACAAGTCTGTTGAGTTTATCAACCTTGTAGCAAGCTTGTCAACAAGTTGTTGAATTGCAAGACAGTAACAGGTTGTTGGAACAACTTGTAACAAGTCTGTTGAGTTTATCAACCTTGTAGCAAGCTTGTCAACAAGTTGTTGAATTGCAAGACGATATCAAGTTGTTGGAACAACTTGTAACAAGTCTGTTGAGTTTATCAACCTTGTAGCAAGCTTGTCAAAAAGTTGTTGAATTGCAAGACGATATCAAGTTGTTGGAACAACTTGTAACAAGTCTGTTGAGCCCAACAACCTTGTAGCAAGATGTGAACAAGCCAAGCCGTTGACAACTTGTCAACAAGCTGGGAACAAGCAGTACGAACACATCCTGATGACAAGTTGTTGAAACAACATTGCTACAAGTCTGTTGCAGGTTTGAAACTCAGGTTTGTTGCAACTTGTGCGTTTTTACGTCTGTACGAGACACAAACCTAAGATACACAAACCTTTTGACTGCTGTATCTATCATCTTTTCGCCCTATTATTGACAGAACCAGTACCGCCTATACCAACTTCTAGCTATTATCTCTCTTCTCTTTTCAACCCACTTACACACAGCGAATTCAAGCTGTATAACAACCTCGACATGTTTACATATTTAACGATGATATTTAACTAAAGCATTCTGAGTATTTTCTCGTGAGCTCACAGATCAATTAAATCGTCCCAAGAAATCGACACGCGCTAACAGTAGAAGTTCCGCTAATCGCTAAAATGTATTGTCAAGCAGATTTTTGGGGGACAGTGTCTACTGTGACTCGGGAGTCAGGGTCTAACGTCAATCATTTGAAATGAATGTAAACTGTTTCAGCGAATGGTATGAACAGTCGGCGACAATGATGGGCGAGGAAGGTGCTGTTATTGGTGGTCTGTTGGTGGGATTGAACGTGATTGATTGTACTATATGTATCAAGGGCGGTGATCTTGATGTACAGGTATGTGATTTACCAAAATAGCGAAGATGAAACACATGCACCTGATCCTGATCCTTATAGGATCAAAGCAAAGACTTGATACTTTTTCAAACAATCATCCCGTAGTTTATTATTATTATTTTCTAAAATTAGGTGATTGCTGAAAATTCTCCACGCTGATCGGTTGCCCTTGAGGTGATTATAACGTACGCGATAATCACCTAAGCGATTTTCGAAATAGCGGCCTAAGCCGTTTTGTCAATTAAATGACGAAGAAATGTGTATTTTCCAAATAATAAACTAATGATGAAATTATACTAAAACAATTATTCACCTCCGGATCGTTGACTATCGTGAATAAAAACGTCGACTTCGTCTTGTTTTTATTTACCGATAATCGCTTTGCCTTCGGCGAATAATTGTTAAATAATGTGAATTACAGTTAAAAATGAAGAATACTCTTATTTCAACCTAAGAACTATTAAACTGTTTTTTATTGTTCGATTCCATAGACAATTGCACTATTTTTAAAACGTTGTGTCCGACAGTTATAATTATAGAACTTTTCTCTACTTAATCTTGTTTCTCTACTGTATAGGGCTTTGGCCGGTGGCTCAATCGTCAGGGCACGCGCCTTACACCTCTGATATCGTCGGTTCAATCATAGATTAAGTAAGAACAGATGTGTAACTTCAGTAAAAAAGTTGTCCCACGGTCGCCATCTTCCTAGCAAGTGTCGCTCGCGTGATTATTCGTCATTTGGTAGTACGTCATTGCCTTTTAAAATGTTTTCAAAACCTTTTCTACAACTTTAATTGCTTTTAATAACTTTAAACATTCAACAAATGATGTTCTTCATTGTTTAATCCACATATTTCGATCCAAGAAAGCCGCAATAAAATGCAAAAGTTCTTGTTTTCCAGGACGCCATCTTCCTAGCAAGTGTCATGGCGTGAGCATGACGTGTACATCTAGGGAAATTTGAGGACACGAATTCCTATTAAGTTACGCATCTGGTATATACTTCATCTGTGGTTCAATGCTCTGCCGAAAGTCGTAGGTTTTCTCCGGGTACTCTGGTTTTCTCCTACAGGGAAAGTTGACAGGGTAACGGTTCAGATTCGCCCCTAAGCTGGGATCAGCCCTCTAACTGCAGGGCCGTAGGAAGCGTTTTTCAATATGGGGGGGGGGAGGCTGAAAGCGAGGGCCGAAGGCCCGAGGACATTTTTAAATTTAGAGTCTCTGAAACGCCATTTCCTGGACTTTGGGGAAGATTTGACAGAATTCTGATAGTCAGAAAACAGCGTTTTAGTATGTCGAAATTTACAATATAGTAGTACTAAATGGGCTAAAGCGTATTATTTAATTAACTATATATTGAATCAGTTGCAGGAAAGTATGGGTAATACCTTCATTCTTTGCATTTTGTCACGGATTAAATGATAAAGGTCTGCATGATTTTGAAAAACGAATGATTATTAGCAAATTATTTGGGGGGGGGGGGGGGCTGCAGCCCCCCAGCCCTCCCCCGGTTGGTACGGCCTTGAACTGATCCTTCCACCGCAACTGTGCTTCCTGATCAGACATGAGTCATAAGGTGGCTGCCAGAGGCGTCCTTAGAAAGCTTTCTACTCGATCACATTGAGTTGTGTCCTTCGCAATTCAGCTTAGGTTTTAGTTCTCAGCTGCAAGCAGGGGTCAATATAACGGTCGGCCACTGGCCATCAGCAGAGCAAAATGCTGATATGGTCGTTTACTAATTACTCTGCACGGACATTATGGCCGACCGTTTTGTCTCGTTAATTTGACTGTTTCTTCCTTTATTATTGCAAATATTTTTAACAAAATCTGTAATCTTTGACACATGCAAACAAAGATTTCGTCTGCTAGACAATCAAGAAATCTTTGAATGCTGTTCTTAGGGTTTGTAATCCAAGTGAGTAAATATATACATTTTAAGACAAGAAATCATTTTAAGAATCAAGAAATCTGTTTTTAAGAATCAAAAAACATTTTAAGAATCAAGAAATCTGACTTTGTCAATATCCACACAATAACAATGTCATCTCGTGTGTTAAGAGAAATATTTTATATTATATACAGCTATTTCAATTAAGGTTGTCCCAGAGAAAAGCGGAAAAGTCGAATACGAGCGCGAAAGCTTCCTGGGAATCGCTAAAAAATTCATAGGAATGTTCCGCATTTATTTCAATTGGAATGTTTCGCATTTATTTCTCAAAGTCTTTGAAGATCTTAAAGTCGTGTAACGTGTTTTTCATTTCCACAGAGAAGCATAATTGATCTGAGTTTCTATTTGAAAGAGGGAAACTATTTGGAAAAACCCGACGACGAACGTCCATCAAGGTGATTTCAATTGTTCTGCTTTGTTTGTTTGTTTGTTTGTTTGTTTGTTTGTTTGCCTGCTTGCTTGTTTGTTTGTTTGTTTGTTTGTTTGTTTGTTTGTTTGTTTGTTTGTTTGTTTGTTTGTTTGTTTGTTTGTTTGTTTGTTTGTTTGTTTGCTTGCTTGCTTGCTTGCTTGCTTGCTTGCTTGCTTGTTTGTTTGTTTGTTTGTTTGTTTGCTTGCTTGCTTGCTTGCTTGCTTGCTTGCTTGCTTGCTTGTTTGCTTGTTTGTTTGTTTGTTAATTTCAGTCAATATTTGGTTATTTTTTCAGCCCTAATAATGAATCCCAAAATGTGAACATGGAACTTGTTTTGGATCAGAAAGCTTATCTGGAAGAAATTAACAGAAGTCTAAGGTATGCTGCTGATAATCTCAGACGTAGGAAAACTACCACTGATATAAAATTTTTAACATTTTTGTGTGTGTTGGTGTTACGTACTCAGGTGAATATGATGTTTGTGATGTTACTCTGAGTGTGCATCTACACCGGGCAAGCTGAAAAGTTTGCCTGACCACTGTGGGAATCGAACCATCGTGCATGGGAATCGAACCTTGATATCGAAGAAACCTGACTCAGTTCCGAGCCGACTTGACCTTGTAGCTCAGTTGGCAGAGCATTGGACTAGTATTCCAAAGGTCGTGGGTTCAATTCCCACCGTGGTCAGGCAAACTTTTCAGCTTGCCCGGTGTGGATATACACTCAGAGTTACATTACAAACATCAATTTTAACATCTTGTCAGAAAACAATGTTTGTCACGTTGTGTTATTAAATAAATGAAATGAGTTATGTGAAATAAAGTATTCTAATTTGAAGCCTATGCAAAGAGAATAGGGTTGTTTAGAGTACTCCGTTGATAGCTGAAATTTTTACCTATTCTGTTACCAGCTCAACAGTGACAGATCTTCAGGCGAAAGTGAAGTATTTGGAAGAGCTAGACAAAGGCCAGAAAGAAGAGGTCAGTTCCTTCTATATGTGTATGCATCAGATTGTACTGGATAATTATAGTGATGTCTTATTTGTCTAATATTACGATATGAGAAGAACATAAAACTAATTGCTAAACAGTGACGGACACTAGGGAGGGCCAAGGGGCGGCCTCCCCCTCTCCAATAATTTTGAAAGACCTATAAAAGACTGGCACCAAAATCACAATTCACAAGCATTATTTATAGGGCCAAGCATGCAATCACACCCATATAACGTAATTGTCATATTAAATAATGACTATTAAATGGGGCAATTTTGTGCCTTGGTGGGAAATTTCGAAACACATTGGCTGTCATCTGCGACGATCACCGGGATGTATGAGAACTTTCGTGCATTCGCGCTCGGCGAGTATCGGCGATAAGCGTCGCCGATCGTCGGTGACAGTTTGCGATGAATGAGAACTAGGCTTTACTGCATGATAAAATATTTTAAACAATCAGAATTGATAGTTATAACTGTACATTAAACAACAAAGCTAATTAACATGATTAGTTGATTATCTTGGCACAACTTGTGACTCAGTATGCTATCTGTAATTTTAGCTTGGCAACGTTAAACTTGAATTAAAGACACTTTTGGAAGAACGTGATGATTTGAGGAAAGGAAGTGACGTGGTTGTCTTACAACACAAGCGACAACTTGAAGTACGTAATATCTTGAAAACAAGCTTACTTTTTAAAACTGTTCTCCTGTACTGAATATCGCTTATCGTCCATTGCCATTCCGATATATTTTTTCTATTTTTTGCAGATTGTACAAGCGGACATTAGTGTTGAAAGGGAGACTTACGTAAAATCGAGGTAAATATCAACTAGGTATATATTACAGAAGTACATTTTACTAAGACCCCGTTTACACTAGAGCGAAAGTTTTCGGATTCATCACGAAACCTGAACGTTTTAGTACCGGATTCACGTGACCATTTGCGCACGCATCGCCGACGAATCCAATATACAGGCGCTGTTACATTTGTCTCGCAATTTTGTTGCGACACAAGTTGCACACGAAATTGCAAGGTGTATCATGCCTCGCAATCAACAAGTCTCGCAATATTTTTGTTGCAACAACCATTGCACGAAGTAGAATCAGGTTCTACTTTCCGCAACGATTGTGGCAACGTTGGAACGCATTTTTAAAGCATTGCACAAGTGTAACATCCCTCTTGCAACTAGTCTCGCAATGTTTATGGGAAAATGCATTACGTTTGGCCCAACTGTGATGCATTTTCCCGCGCGTAATACAAATTAATACAAAATTTGCAAATTTCGTAGGCGGTAGGGTTATATTTTCTGCATTTTAGAATTGCAATTTTCCTAGTTTTACATTGCTTTCTCTGGCTGTGGTGATGGATTTTGTTCTTCTTGCATAGATCAAAATTTAGTCTATAGCTCGAATTGCCTATTCCGGGAGCATTTTTACCGAAGCTCTGTGACGATTATACTTTGACAAGTTTTCTTTGTTGACCCATACAGACGAACAAAATTTATACTTTCACAAGTTTTTTCATGATGACAAGTGCACTTGTTCAAAAGCTATAGCATGCTAGTTTTTGAACAAGTGCACTTGTCATAGAAAAAGTTGCGCGAACAGACGAGCAAATAAAACTTGTCACATAAAAACTTGTCATAGAAAACTTGCTCGTCTGTATAACCGCGGCTTAAAGCTGCATTCCAGCGTAAAATTTCGCTGTCGAAATATAATTGTGAGCTGTCAAGTAAAACTGATTTATTTGGATGATCACAATTCAAAAGAAATCAAACGAAATATTTCCAAATCTTTCTTTGTGAGTGAAGCTTGTTGTCTGAAGGATTTTGTAAACACAAAACAGTTGTATTAAATGTATACGCTATCGTATACGTACTTTAGGCAAAAATGAATAGATTTATACGATTATATGATCAGCATTTCTATAGCACAAATTTATATGTCGATATGATCAAATGCGCTTTACATCAAGTATTACGCTTACCTGATTACATACTTAACCTAGACTACACGGCAAAAAACGCCGAGCCCGTTGCTTAACAGGATTGAACAATGTTTTGCTGCCCATGTTGTTCACACTTGTCAACAATATTGAACAATATTGTTGAGCCTGAATCGAGTGTAACAATATTGTTCAATATTGTTGACAGCTATGAACAATGTGGGCAGCAAAACATTGTTCAATCCTGTTTCCATCAGTATTGCATCAACCTGAGCGTTTTTACGCGTGTATTTTATCTTTACAACAATTGTGATATTACTTTCTTAACTGTGTTTATCCTAACCCACCCTGTCAACTTTCCCTGTGAGAGGAGACCCGAGCACCCGGAGAAAACTCACGACTTTCGGCAGAGCGTTGACTCACTCTTTTCACGATCTCAGAGGCGAAAGGCGCTTGCTATGATGACTGCGCCACCGAAGCTCCCAACAGATTTATGTTCCTTCATGTATACTGAGTTTGCTAATTATTTGCCCTCTCTGGGTAGGGAAGGTTTGAATGAGATGTATGATGACGTCAGAAAACAACTTGAGTTGGAAAAGAAACTAAGAAAGGTACGTGTGATTGGTATCCTATTTAAAACACGTAAACATCTCACATCTTGTAACAAGTTTGTCAACAAGTTGTCTTCGCACTGCTTGTTACAAGTTGTCAACAGTTTTGGAACAATTTGTTGACAACTTGTAACCACCTTGCCGAAATTGTCAGATTTGTTACAAGGTTGTTCTGACAAGTCCGTTACATGCTTGATGCGACAAATTGTTACAACCTTGTGTTGACAACCTTGTAACATGCTTGTTGTTATATCATGGCTGTAAAAACTTGTAACAAGTCTGATAATGCCATCAAGCTTGTTACAAGTTCTTAACAGCTTGTTACAAATTTGTCGCAACAACTGGGAACAAGCAGTGCGAACACAACTTGTTGACAGCTTGTGAACAGATTTGTAACAAATCCAGACTTGCTACAAGCTGTGCGTTTTTACGCATGTATTACACACGTAAAAACACACAAGTTGTTACAGGTCTGCAAACAAGTTGTTACAAACCTGTTCACAAGCTGTCGACAAGTTGTGTTCGCACTGCTTGTTCCCAGTTGTTGTAACAAGTTTGGAACAAGCTGTTAACAACTTGTGACGAGCTTGATGGCATTATCAAACTTGTTACAAGGTTGCTCTAACAAGTCTGATACAGTCATGATATAACAAGAATGTTACAAGGTTGACGACACAAGGTTGTAACAATATTGTTATATCATGACTGTACCGGACTTGTTGGAACAACCTTGCAACAAGTCTGATAATATCAACAAGGTTTTGACAAGTTGTTAACAGCTTGTTCCAAACTTGTTGAAAACTTGGGACAAGCAGTGCGAACACAACTTGTTGACGGCTTGTTGGCAGCCTCGCAACAATTAGATGTGAGATTTTA